AGAGTTTTAAGTACGTTTCCAAGTTCATGGCTAAGAAGTGGCCAACTGGGTCTTTATACTCCGTCCTTGGGATGGAATCCAGTGGTTAAAACAAGCAAGCTCTGGGCTCCACTAACCTGGGCAATAGCTGCACCCAGAATAGCCTTTGTTTTTACTTTATTTTATTTTTTTAAGTTTATTTATTTTTAGAGAGAGAGCACGAGCAAGCGAGGGAGGGGCAGAGAGAGGGAGAGACAGAATCCCAGCACTGTCCGTGCAGGCCAAGCAGGCTCCCTACTGTCAGATCACGCGTGACCTGAGCCAAGATCAAGTGAGATCATGACCTGAGTGATCATGACCTGAGTGAGATGACCTGAGCCAAGATCAAGACCCAGACGTTTAACCAACTGAGCTACCCAGGCGCCCCAGAATAGTCTTTGTTTTTAAACAAATGCCTAGCTTGTCATAGGAGCCATGACGCTAGCTTTTCCCAGGCGTGGCCGTTGCTGAGTGTAGAGACAGGGGTCTGGGGCAGGGAGGCATCTTTACTTACTGGGTTTGTGGCTTTTGGCAGGTTTGTTAAGTCTCTTGAACTTCATCTTTTTTTTTTTTTTTTTTTTTTTTTTTTTTAGATAGAGAGCAGGCGAGAGTGAGAGAGACTCTTAAGCGGGCTCCACGCTCAGCATGGAGCCCGATGCAGGGCTTGATCCCAGGAGCCTTGGGATCATGCCCTGAACCGAAACCAAGAGTCGGATGCTCAACCAACTTAGCCACTCAGGCGCCCCTCCTGAACCTCATCTTAAAAGGGAGCTAATAACAATCACACCCACCTATGGGTCAGAGGATGACACCGAATGGTACAGGGGAAAGTCTGTTGTCGGCTGCTCTGTCTGCCAGGCAGGATGGACGTGCCAGAGACCCTGCTGCTTAAGGATGATGGAATGTGCCTTCCAGACATATGAATCAAGGATTTCCTGCGGAGGTCCTGGGTCCTCAAGGAGTTTCCTGGAGAAAGATGACAGAGCTGTCTCTGCCCGTTTGGGGAAGACCCCCTCAAAGCTGGGGAGACCTCACCTGGTGCTGTACCCAGAGAGCCTGGGTTGTGCCCTGGCCTGCCACATACTGGTTGCTCAACCTCCCCGGTCCTCCTCTCCTTGTCTAGAAGATGGAGTTCATAATATCGACCTTGTAGAGTTGTGAGAACGAGAACATAGGAGACAAGGCCCTTCAAAAAGGAAGTCGCTCGACAAATATTTACAAAAAGGGGGGGCAAAACATGTGTCACCTGAAGACTGTTTGCTGGAGGGAAGGCAATTAGGCCGGGTTTTGAGTGGTGATAGTCCTTGCCCCTCCACGTAGCATGTAAGTCCATGTCTTGTTCTCTTTTGTTTTATGACCTTTGGGCCAAGAGGGTCTTCCAGAATTAGAGGGTCCAACCCTCCAATCACAGAGGGAAAACTGAGGCTCAGAGAGAGCAGATGATTTGCGTGAGCTTCTAGGCCAACCTGACCTGTGTCTCCCAGACTCCCTCCTTCCCCCCTGCTCCATCTTGTTTTCTGGGGCTCTGTTGTTTCCAATGGATCATAAAGTTCTGAGAGGGCAGGCACATTTGCATACTCTGTTCCTTCCCAAACACCCATGCTCTGCCCAGAGAAGAGCTTCTGGAGGAACCTGCGGACATGTGGGATGTGACTGACCACAGCTGTTGCTTCCAGTCTTGTGTTCATGTGGCCTCGACTCTTGGGCAGGCAGAGAGGAGCCCTGTATAGTCCAGGAAATCCCGGGCCTCATTTCCAGGTCCCAGCAGGGATGTGGGGGAGAGGATAGGCTTCCTTTTCAGCCACCCCCCTGGACCTCCTGCTCTTCTTGCTGTTAGAGGGGTAAGAAGGTTCTGTGTGAACCGCTCCAGGCTCCTGGGGGGATCTGGGCTAAGAAGCATTGTCTTCTGTGCTAGGCCTTCTGGTCACCTGCTGTCCCTTAGCAGGTACCTACCTGGCTGCTGTGGGAGGCTCTTGGTAGATGTAACCAGAGGACTGGCAGAGAAGCTGCTCTCTCCACCCCCCCCCCACTCTTTTTAAGTTTATTTATTTTGAGAGAGAGAGAGGCAGAGAGAGAATCCCAAGCAGGCTCTGTGCTGTGAGCACAGAGCCCGACACAGAACCTGATCTCACAAACCATGAGATCATGACCTGAGCAGAGATCAAGAGTCAAACGCTTAACCCACTGAGCCATCCAGGCGCCCCTCTGCTCGTTCTCTTTGTGTGTGTGTGTGTTTGTGTGTGTGTGTGTGTGTGTGTGTGTGTGTGTGAATGCACCATGACAAATTGTGGTAGCTGCACCCAGAGCAGTCTATTTTTTTTTTTAATGTTTATTCATTTTTGAGAGGGGTTAGCGGCAGAAAGGGAGGACAGAGGATCTGAAGTGGACTCTGTGCTGACAGGAGAGAGCCCAATGCCAGGCTTGAACTCATGAGCCACGAGATCATGATCTGAGCTGAAGTTGGACGATTGACCGAGCCACCCACGCGCCCCCAGAACAGTCTATTTTAAGCAAATTCATGGGGCCTGAGTGGCTCAGTCAGCTAAGTGTCTGACTCTTGATTTCGGCTCAGGTCATGATCTTGTGGTTTTGTGAGTTTGAGTCCCACGTCAGCCTCTGCGTGCTGACCATGCGGAGTCTGCTTGGGATTCTCCCTCTCTCCCTCTCTCTCTGCCCTTCACCCACTCACGCTGTCTCTGTCTCTCTCACAATAAATAAATAAGCTTAAAAAAAAAATTCATACCTTAATCTATGAGCCATGATGCTGGCTGGCTTTCCCCAGGCTTGGTCATTACTGAGTATGGAGACAGGGACCTGCTCCTGATCTCTGGTCCAGGAAGGCAGGAGCTGGGTGGCGTAGGAAGGGACAGACAGTGTTGAGGGCCAGGTAACACTCAAGTGAATGACTGAGGCTCTCACCTCCAGCCAGGCCTTCTTGGTTTTGGTTTTGTTTTTGTGAGCTACAACTGTAGAATTGTTGGCTCGCAGAGCTGGAAAAATCCTCGGAAGTTAGCCATCCAATCATACCATTTTACCGATGAGGAAACTGGCAGAGGAATGGCAGCTTGCCAGGCACCTGTCACTCTTCCCCCAAAACATCTCAGTCAAGATGACTCTTCCTGGATGCTGGCCTGAAAGCAGTTCCCTTCAGCCCTAAGCCCAGAGAAGAGGGCCCTAGGGGAGAGGAAGGAAGGGCAGGAAGAAGGAACTCCTTTTCCATCCTTCCTTCTCAACTTCACCTTGTTGGACCATCCAGAAAAGTCTCTAGCTGGAAGGAAGGGAATCCAGTCCAACCCTCTAACCCTACAGATACACAAGCAGAGGCCCAGAGAGAGGAAGGGACTTAGTCAGGGTCACACAGAGAGACCTGAGCCAAACTCAGGCATCCTGGGGGCAGTTTTCATTATATTCTGCACAACTCGGTCCTCAGTGACGCCTTTGCTTTGTGCCTCAGGGCACATGAATTGTTTGCCCTGAAATAAACTCTTCTGCCCCTAGAACACATTGTAAACAGCCCAAGGGCAGGACTTAAAGCATCTCAGGGAATGAAGGTCCAGCCCAAACTTTGAAGTCCAGCTTTATGCTGGATGTGGTCACATCTGCCATCACATCTAATTTGGAATTCACAGAATGTCAGAACTGAAAGAGACCTTAGAGAACAGAAGTCCAAGTCCTGTTTCCCAGATAAGGACACGAAGGTCCAGAGGGAAAATGACTCATCCAACAACACACCGGGATAGAGCTGTAGGACCCAGATTGTCTCACTTCCTGTCCTGTTTTCTTATTTTTTTGTGCAGTCCCCACAGTACCTTGCACTGTGTTAGCCTCATAACCTTTCAATATGCTCAATAAGTTCTTGCTGGATGGAATAGAAACAAGGTGCCTTATGTACAAATCACCCTTGGTAATTGACAAAAGACTTACAGAATGTACATTTCCTTTGATAAATATCTAGTAAATATCTATTGCTTGGGCTTATCAGCTCACTTTTCCCTTGTTCTATATTATTTTCTGCCGGAGGCTATATTTAGGCACAATTGGACTATTTCCACCCCAGGCACTCTTTGGAGGCCAGCAAGACCACTTAAGTGCTCCTCCACCATAGACTGGAACTGACCAGAGCCTCTGGAATCCTGTCTGTGGATCTGAGGATATCTACTGCATAAGAAATTCTGGGTGAGAGTTTGGAAGTAAGGGTGCCCTGTCTGTTCCCCAGGAATGCTAACCTTATCTTTTTAAATTTGTATTATTATTTTTTTAAATTTATTTTTAAGTAATCCCAACACCCAACATGGGGCTTGAACTCACAACCCTGAGATCAAAAGTCATCTGCTTTACTGACTGAGCGGCCGACCAGGTGCCCCTAGGTTATGCTAACTTTGGAGGGCCTAGGCCCGGGTGAGCCAGAGGGGTGTGGCAGCAACGGGTGCTATCAGTTCAGGAGTGTCCACTGATCGGGGAGGAAGCTTGTTCTGTCTCCTGGTCCAGGTACTGGCCAGGGCATTTCTCATGATTCCAAATGGGAGTTGCAACTCCCATAGTCCTTAGCAACGTTGTTCGCCATCCTTATTCTTCTCCCCTGATGCTTCTGCTTAAAGTCCAGTAGCGCTGCCAACCTGTCAGGCTAATAGGTTAAATGTCCAGCTCTCCTCCAAGATTGATTTCCTTCCTACCAAGGGGCCAAATTCACTATTGGATCCCAGGGACAGAAGTTCCCTAATCATCTACTAGGTTCTATCTGCAGGCTCCTTCTACATTGGGAAACTGAGGCAGCATTTGAGACAGACCCCTGATCCCTGTTTCCATGGTGAATGGTCTTAGCAAGGGCCTACTCTAGGGACTCATAACAAAAGACAGTTTTATTTTCTGTGAGGAACTCTAAGTTCCTTAAAGGCAGATTCATTTCTGTATCCCCAGCACCTACCACAGGTACTCAAAAACATAATGTAGAGTGAGTGCAGGATTATTTAACCCCCGCTTACCTGAGAAGGGGAAATCTGAGGGCTCCTCAGGGCGCCTCATGGTGAATTCTTATAACCCCTGGGGTATTTGGCCCCTGGGGAACCGAGGTGATAATCTCAGGGCATCTGGAGGAGACACCTAGAGTGCTGGGAGCCCAGCCCCTTCGGGCCCTGTCCCTTGTATTTGGGAGACAGACGGACCTGAGTTTGAATCCCAGTTCTTGCCTGCTTGAACCCTGTGACTTTGGGCGAGTCAGCTCAGCTTTGCTGTGCCTCAGTCCCCTCGTCTCTGGAATGGGAAGGGCCTAGCCAAGGTGCTCTGTGACAGTTATTGACATCTATCATCCCACATGGGGAGATTCTTTCCCCGTGTTCTGAGATCTTGAGAGAAGAAATTCTAGAGTCTTCAGTATCCCGAGGCCTTGACTGAGTACCTGCTATGTGCAGGGTGAAGTGCTAGGTACTGGGAAAGCACAAAGAAATATGATCTTATCTCTTCTCTCAAGTGGCTTATACTCTTTTTGGGTAGGCAAAACATGCACTGGGAAAGCAAAATCCCAACCCAATCCAACCCAACCCAACCGCCCTAGAGACAACATAAGGTTGATCAAGAGTAACAGCAATTGGGTGGCACCATCTTTATGGGGTGGAGGCAAGAGGATCCCTGTCTTGGAGCCACAGGGGATGACC